TGAATTCCATTTCAACACGTATTTTACCATTTATTTTCTGTATGTAATATTCACTGATAATTTTAAATTGCTGTAATCACTGACATAACTTTTGAAAGTTACTTTGTTGATTTATTTTTTTTTGAAATGTTTAATAAATTAATTAAGGACATTTTTAAATTTATATAAGAAAATACTGTTCCTTTATTGTTACGAATTGAATTTTACAATCAATTTATTATAGTTTTGTGTAAACATTTATAACAGAAAATTTTGTCATGTGACAGAATTTACTCTATTCTCAAGTATTTATAATTTAAAGTTTGCTTTAGAAAGTGCTGAAAACTTCATATTAAAATGGATAAATTCACCTTTGCAGAATGTTAAATGGAAATTTAGCTTTATCATATAACAAATACACAAAACGCGCAAAATTTGAATGAAATCAGGTATCAAACGTAATTCCCATTAACAAATTGATAAGCATGTTATATCAACAAAAGCGACTCGAAGTTGTTTATTGAATTGAAACATATTCGCGATTGCAATTGGACACGAATCCAATACTCGCGATGACTCATTCAATGCACGTAGTCTCACCCACTTGATATAATTTCGAAGGACATTTCCCGTCCCGAAGAGATATCAGAGCGAACAGCAGCAGCAACAGCTCCTAGAAAACGCATTTCAACGAACGTCGCTCGATTCACGCAACTTTCATCTATTTTTTCTCTGATAGACAGAAAGCATTTTTCCGGTGATAAACGCATCTAAAAAAACAAAATCTGTAAAACATCACAATAACAGCGACCTTCAAAAAATAAAATTTCATTCAAAACACATTCACTTTAAACGAAAAACTTTGAGCGCGCGTCTCCTTTCTTTCTTTCTTTGAATTCAATTTTTATTATTCTGTCTGGAGCTCCATCAAAAACACATTCTTGTTCATTTTCTTATACTCTTCAGCCGCCAGGTAAATGGAAACAAATTTAATTTCACATTGTTTCTTTTCTTTTTTTAATACACGAATAATCGCCGAGGAAAAATACCCCAACTTTTATTCGCATCGTTATTTCTCATCTTTATTTTATTTTTCTTCGCTTTTCTTTTTAATTATATAAACATAGTCTTGAAAAGTTTCATAACTGAATGCTAAATATTTATCAAGAAAAGATGATTCTGAGTTATTTGAGATTAAATTTTCTATCGACAAAGTTTCATAGTTTTCATGAAAAAGCAAAGAAAACTTTAAGATATTTGAAAAAAAGTTTATTAAAAATCTAATGCATTTTGACGGCTAATTACGAAATAATTATCTTGCAGAGAGCGCATTTGAAAGTCTATATCAGTTTGGGAACCACTGGTCTACAGTTTTATAGTGTTAATTAATAGTTGTGTCATGTGGAAATTATAAACATAAACATTGTTTTAATTGAAATAAACAAAATACGTTTCAATATATTGTTTGTAAATTAGTTTATAACGGTTTTATATAAATATTCGTGTAATTCATAGTGTAAGCAAATATTTGCTATAAATTAATTGCTTTTCGACAAAACTTGTAAATTAATACTAGGATTTTTTAATTGAATTAAATAAATATGGAAAATCGACTAAAAAAAATTATAAATCTGATATGAAATTTCCAATAAGATACAAATTCAATTCAGAATACGCGTCAATGGAAGATTATTTTCGGTTTAAGTAATCTCATCATTTTATCTAGAAAATAATTATTTATTGATTGAAATGTTACAATTAGTAAATAAAATAATCAAATTAGAAAATATGCGAACAGATCGTATAGTCATAATATGCACGTAAGACAATAACAGAATTACACTTTTTAATCAATCTTATCTTATCTTTGTTATACGCGACACAAAATGTGTCTACAAATTCAATGAATTTGAGTATAAATATTAACAATTCGTTAGTTTTATACTTTTTTTTTGCATTTTGATCATCATTCAACGTATGTGATAAAAAAAGTACATAATTCAATCCATTAAGTCGTATACAATTTCAGTATAAATTATTACACTTTTACTGAAAGTTTTTCTTGATCTTTAAGAAAATTTTCAAGATCATTCACAATCCTGTTGTTAAATATTTATATAAGAAGTTCATAAAAGCAGTTGAACACATATTTTATAATAATAAACACACATTGAGTAAATTTAAACTTAATGTAAACTTTGATTACAAACATTTAAATTTTACAAAATTGAAACGTGCAATTTAGGAATTAAAATTTGTTTAAACAAATTAAACAAAAAAATCATCAAATGAATGATAATTTTTAAGTATTTTGAATTGATTTTTTTTAATAAAATGTTATAAATGAAAATTTGTCATGGTTATAGAAACAAGTACAAAAAGAAATTTTGTTTTAAATTTGCAATTTAAACAAAAAATCATCAAATTAATGATAATTTTTAAATGTTTTGAATTGATTTTTTTAATAAAATTTTACAAAATTGAAACGTGCAATTTAAGAATTAAAATTTGTTTAAACAATTTAAACAAAAAATCAAATTAATGATAATTTTTAAGTATTTTGAATTGATTTTTTAATAAAATGTTTAATTTATAACAATAAAATTTACAATTTTTACAAATTACAAAAAAAAAATATATGAAATTCATTAAATTTAACAATACTTTTTTTTTAAATATTTCACATAAAATTTGAATCAATAAAAATTTTGAAACAAAATGTTTACAATCAACTAACAATGTGCAAATATTTAGTTTGGGAACAACATTGCGTTCGAACAAAGGGGATTTTTTTCAAATTGAATAGGAATTCGTATATTTGGTGTTTTGCATTGTGTAAAATAAATAGGTTTCGGGTTGTTCTAAATCTAGAAATACTAACAAAAAAAAAATAGAATAGTTTAGTTTCTAAAAATACTAGTGGGCTTGGGAATAAACAAAAAGGGAGTTTTTCGGGTGTATCGATTGGCTGTGTTCGTACACAAACAAATACAGTGTTTGTAAATACGGGAACCAGTGTGCACTTGAAACGAAGAAATGATGTAAAAGTGAAGGTCTGCTGTTATGACTAATAAATATGTGTGAACAGGATGAGGATGAGGACGTGGTCGTCGTTCTTTCTTACCAGTTTGTATGTGGGGGACCGTCGTGGTGAGGAGCAACAAAAAGCCAAGGTAGCCAGACTTCGTGACCATTTTTTTTTTTTCGTAAATCCACCCGCCAGTGCGCCGCACCACCACCGTCACCTCCTCGCCAGGCCGTGGATGAACAATAGTGGTAATATCCGTAGTATCCGAATATCCGTCACAACCGGACGACTTCCGGTTCACCCCCGAACGAACAAACAAACAAACGAAAACTTGAAAATTTGAAAGATCGAGAAGGCGGGCGCGCACTAGAAAACAAAACACAGACACAAACACCTATGAGAGAGAGAGAGAGTCGTTGTTTTCGGCTAAACCATACCAAAAGACACCACCACAGCTGACCGCAGACTGAAATCGAAACAACACACACCATATATAAAACCTTTGTCTAATTTCGACGGGGGCGCATGCGTTTGTTGTGTGTTCGTCCGGCACGGAGCACACAAATAATAAATAAAATTGGAACAATTCTGAACGAATATAAAAGCCTTCTCTTCTCTTATCCTCCACACTTTTGCTTCGATCACTGCACAGCGTTCAGCATATTATTAAAATATATATATATACAAATTATTTTTTTTTCGTTTGACCGTTTCACCCCCCTAAAACAACTGCTCTATTGCTATGGGAACGTAAAGGGAGCCCTTCGATAGCAACAACACAACACCCGTCCTCGTCTATATCAAAAAACCCACATACACACACACCACGTTCTTCGCCTTCCTCCTCTTCTTCACTCCAATTTAGCAAACAACAACAAACAGCACTCCACGACCAAACGCATGACAGCTTTCTTCCGACTGAGCGAACGACAGTTCAACCAGTATTATCTTCGATCCGTGCGTGGAGAATCGCAGCATCCGAATATCTCCATGCTCCTCCATCTATGGACGGAACAGCAAAACCATCGAGAATACAATGAATCCATCCAAAACCATCATCAAAATCCATTACAAATCAAAATTAACATCTAAAACAAACATTATTAATAGTAAACAGCAACTTATGAGTACATTTAACAGGTTAAAGTTGAAGTTACCATAGGCAACCAAATATACAATCAAATACATTTGTTGCATACCCAAAACTAGTATAAATTAAATGCACTTTGAACTGGACTAAGCCACAACGAGAACTAGAACAAAACAATTTGCATCCTCATTACACTATTATAAACCATTAAATACTTACAAGTAAACTGCAAATTAACGTATTAATCATCACAAAACTAAACACTTTTTAAAGTTGACATTTCTAATTGAATTCAGTACTGCCATTATTAATATTCATATTTTATAAACTAATGCCAACATGCAAATTTTATTAACAATTTATAAATAACTTCCGATTCTCCATCAAAGTTAACATAACTTACAAATTAAACCATTTCATCTTTTACTTCAGATACATTTAAACTTCGTAATTATCTTCAACTGTAGATAACTTGAAATTATATAATGTATATTATAAATTAATACCAACCTATAAATATAAATTACTAGATTATAATTAAAGATTTTACAACAAAATAAATCGTTTTTAAAGCTTTTCATTTATATTCTAACGTTTTAAATCTGATTACGTGTGTCTGCAATCAGTAAATCAGCTTAGATACCTTGATTAAAAGGAAATCCTTTGAAATTATATAATACTCTTACATTTCGAAATTACAGTTTAAAGCTCGTTTTATTTTATTAATGGTAAAAGGGATATTACATATTGTAATAGTCTCTTATTCAAGTTACTTTTTAATTTTCTATTCTATTCGATACATTTATATTATGTATTAGAGATATAGATTATATATATGCATAACAAAATACATTGATCACAGTGAATATATATATATTAATCAACAGATTAAACAATGTTTATTTCAAGTAAAAAAAGTGTAATTATTAAGCGTTAATAAATAGGTTTTTAAAAAAAATATGAGTTATCAAGCGTATTTGATAGTAATGTAATGAAGTGTTTACTTCTTCTTGGCGACAGGAACACGAGTTCCCATCAGAGCGCACAATTTATTCCTCAAAGGACGAACGACTTCGACCGGTTCCTCCCAATTCGTGGTGCTCAAAAGTTGAGAGATCTCATCCAAATTCTCTTCTGGTATTATACTGTTGTCTCCATAAACCAGTATGGATTCGAAGAGTTTCGTAGACGTTGATCGTCGGACGTACGGTTGTCTGTGACAGAGAAGAATGCTGAGCTGCACCAAAGCCGTGCTGCAAACATCGCTCTTGACCTGCAAGCAATAATCAATATTAATTGCGAGAAATTCACAACGAAAGATTTACCTGTATGAATTGGCACAGAATACTGATGCCATCGATTAACTTGTAGATGTCCTTGCATCCGTTCAACTCCATTTGAACCAGTTTCAAGATCTTTTTGGCGAAATCGGATTGCAGATTATCCAGGATGTGATCGATGCAACCCGAGCTGAAGAGTCTGTCCAGGAACCTGAACATCGGTATAACGATGCGATCGTTCTTCTGGCAATTCGCGAAAATCTCGTGCGTAGTTTCGCACAGTCGTTCGATCTTCTCAATCGGCTTCTCTTTCATATGATCGAAAAGACTGTGACTGGAACATTTAACCTACGGAAATGTATATTAAAATCAAAATTGAGTAAACTATTTGGTGATTTTGTATCTTTACCAAAGTTTCGGCCATTCCGCCGACGCTGCAGATTAATCCCAACATAATGCTGTAGGTGTATTCGGGGAATTCGAGCAAGTTGACGAATCTCGGGAACGTCGTCGAGGCCGAATTCCAGTTCAGTAGGTCGCACTCGTCTTTGGGGAACAGCGATTTCAGCGCTTCGTGATGCGGAATGTTCGGGACAATTGGGTCACTGCAAAATCCATAATTTCATTATATTGCAATTAGCAAAATTAAATTTAACCTGTGGATTAGCGAGTAGAAGACTTTGCCGGCCAAAGCCCTCGTCCTATCAATTTTCTCGACAGATTGCTGCGAGACGCCGCAAATTATTCTGGTCATCAAATCCGTATTCAAGAAATTAGTGTTGACAGTCAGAAGCAATGTGATGTGTTGAAGTCCGAGCATGGAGACTTCCCGAACCCAAGCGCCGATATCTCCTCTGTTATCCACAGTGTATTCAGTCAATCCAGCCAAGAGCGCTTCGTAGATTTTCTTCAAATAATCCTCGCCGACAGCTGCAAATATTCTAATTACAATCAATGGTTTAATAATCAGAAAAGTTTACCTGAATCGAGTTCTTCGTTTAATGTCACGCAGATGCTCGTCAACGCTTTGATTGCGTCTCGACGACTTTCCGCCCACTTCACCGTCGCCGCATTAATGACTGCAGCATCCAGAAGCGATTGAAGGATTTCATGGATGTGCGGAAACAACATGAAAGCCGGCAACGAACCCAGCGCCAAGGAATGACCCATCCGCACGACCTGCACGTTATCATTCTTCATCTCCTTCATGTACTTGTCTATTATATCCTTTTGCATTTGCGCTTTACTTGCGTCCTTGTAGAATTCCGTGAATAAAGCAGGAAGCGCGTCTATGGCTCCTAAACGGATGTTCGGTACGTCGTAGGATAAACACTCGTTCAACAGCAGCAACCAATCGTCTAAAAATACTACAATTAATATCGATCAATTTAAAGGTAAGATTAAATACACTGACCAACGATGTCGGAATTGTGGAACGGTAAATGCGCCAGAGAGCATTTCTTGATGAAATCAGAGCAGGCTTGCTTCATCAATTCACCGCCCATCCCGCGGAAGAAATGCCTCTCCCTGTATTTCGGCACCAAATCTTTCACCTCCATCAAGATGCTTTCGTTCAGAGCATCTTCGGAAACTTGCGAGATTGCGTGAATTATATCACCAATCGCCAATATAGATCCATGACGGCTATTGAGATCGATGCTTCGGCTCTTCTCGAACAACATCGGAAGCACCGTTCCAACCATATAATCAACAGCCTTGAAGAAATTATTTGAAAAATTAACTTAAGAAATTCTAACGATTTTCATAATTTTACCAAAGGAGCGAGATTGTGCAGAGCTTTAGCGCTCAATTCGCGAATTGCTATATCCCAATGAACAACCTTCCTTTCAACCAGATGATCAATCAAATGCTTGGTGTATTCAGGGAATTGTCCGATGAAAACGCTGATTGTTAGGAAAGAGGAATTCCTCACGCTGACAGCGAAGAAATCTGCGGTTGTTAAGATATCGATTCCGTGCGGAAACGTGCCTTGTCTTCCAACGTTTTCTTGAAAAGCGGCGGAAGCGGCTCTTCTACAATTGATCTATCAATAAATAATAATTAAATCACTCAGTTAGATGCGTTTTTTTTGGATTTTAATACTTCTCTATCAAAGCAGGTGACGACCAACAGTTGACTGGCAATATCGTTGACGAAGGGCTTCAAATCATCGATCTCGTAGGCTCTGGCGAAGGCCCAGCAGACGTAGCAGGCCGAATCACGGATGTGCGAACCGACAGAAGCGTAACCGCGAGGCTCGTCGTAAATCAAAGCTTTCAAGACGACTGGAACGACTTCGGGAAGTCGTTGAGGCAACAGCAAACCTCTCCTTCCTTGTAATAAAATCAATTAACTACTCGTAAGTTCTTGCGAATAATCACAAACCTAATTCGGCTAAAGCCAAGCAACCGCCATGCCAAGCGCCGTCTCCTTCACGCGGACTGAACAACTCCAGAACGGACCCAACGACTTCATCCGCCAACTCCTTTGGTAATCTACCGGTAACTCTACCAATCCCTTTAGCCGCCGACCATCTAACAACACCATCGGCGCTGCGTAAACCCTGTATCAATTGATCGATAATTTCTTCGATTTCCTCCGGTACTTCAATGTCTTCCTCTTCGATCATCGCGTTAACATCATCCATGGGAGCCGAAGAAATAACGCTGGATCCGCTATCCCCTGAGCATAGATTAGAAGTCAACGAGCGATTGCCTCTCATGTACCTCCATTTGGCAATACGAGGAGGAAGGAAAGTTAATCCTACAAACAAAAACATTTAAAATCTTCACTCATTAAACACCTACACAACATACCAATCCTCTGCACTATCTTATAAACCAACTTCTGTATATTGCATCCAGGATAACTCTTAATCTCGGCATTAATTATCCACTGCAACAGCTTCTGCGCGTGCGGTAATATATCGTCTCTTTTACCGTGCTTTATAATCATAGCCACTGAAGATAAAGTTCCATATTTGATGAAACTGCTGCTGTCCTTCTCCACACTCAACTCACAGGCCCAATTCAGGAATGAAGATAAATACTGTTCTTTAACATCAGTCCTTTAACAATTTACAATAATTTAATTTGTTAATTTAAAAAAAAAAAACAAAGAATACCTGGTTAAATATTTGGATATCAAATAAGCTGCAGCATCTCTACATTTATCTCCAACAACAGTGTAAGTCTTGCATATCTCCATCACGCGAAACATCACAGTCTTCTGGTCACCACCTTTGCCCTCCTCGAAACCATCCAATCTGGACATGTGGAATGGAATCATGACTATGATAGATAACCACAGTAACAAGACATATCTAGTAGTCCAATTCTTAGAATCATTTGGATCTTGGGCTTCAAGCAATTTCAGCACTGGCTCAAAATCGGCAACCTTGAATGAACAACAATTGAATTAATTAAACAAAAATCCTAAATGACAGTCTACACTTACTTCATGCGGCAGATGCCTAACAATGACTTTGTAGCCCCTGACATTGATCAGAAAGTACATGTATTTGAATGTCTCGTGTTTCACTTGCATATCAACATCAGGATCTCGAATGATGACTATGATCTTTTGCAGAATCGTCTCCAGATGTGTGTCCAACAGATGCGGCTGCTCTATGTACTGTTTGAGAACATCCATGTACCTTTCGTAGGCCCTTTCGATAATAGACTGACCAGATCTCAGCACATTCTTCAAATTCATAATCATCTCAGCTATTTCGTTATGTTCAGAGAAGTACTCCATGGCACAGCCCAGTCCGAAAGTGTCCTCATCTTTCTGAATCTCATCAATCGCTTCACCCATGATCGTTTTCTATTTGATTCCAATTATTTCCAAAAAAACACTGCGTTCCAAAACACCGACACTCTGTACACAAATATAACCACAAATGTCACATCTGACAGTTAAATTAAATATTTTACATTACTTAAGCAAAATTCTTAAGATTTAAAGCTGTATAATTGCATAAAAACAAATAAATTATTACAATATTGAAACAAATTAATTGAATTTAAATCGTAATTAGTTATCAATCTTATAAACTTTGTTAAGTGTGTTGCCTATACTAAAACTGTTACAAAACAATTTATCACCAGACGCTCCCAAAAATGTTCTTAAATTTAACATCTTCAAAACTAAAGCTTCATGTATACATTTAATTAGAATTAGTATACATTTATATATGAGAGCTATTGTTCTTTATAAATTATAAAAAAGCTTAAGAAATATTAAGCAAATCAAGAAGAAATGACCATTTGATTTTTATTATATTTCATGAAAACTAGGAAATGTTGAAGGAAAATGAAATGTGGGAATAAATCTTGAATATTTCAAGAATACTTTAAGCCTAAATACATGTATGTTAGCGCACGGTTTTCCTTAAATTATATGAGCAAACTTTAAGAAGCAATTGTTGACATACTTTAGGGTTTTCGCTTATTTCTTCAAAACCAAGGAATTTCCAAGGAATTTCTAGCTTGAAAATTAATCTTGAATATTTAATAAATAAAATGCCTACTAAATATATTTTTGTAGAAGTTGATGAGTTAATTTAATTAATTAATAAATTATGACATGCGATAAATGAAAATTGACCTTTTCGATTTTCATTAAAATCGAAGTAAATTGATGACGATTTAAGAAAACTTAATTAATAAACATAATCTAGAATATTTCAAGAATAATTTAAGCCTACATACATGTATGTTAGCGCACGGTTTTCCTTAAATTATATGAGCAAACTTTAAGAAGCAATTGTTGACTTACTTTAGGGTTTTCGCTTATTTCTTCAAAACCAAGGAATTTCCCAGGAATTTCTCGCTTGAAAATTAATCTTGAATATTTAATAAACAAAATTCCTACTAAATACATATCTGTAGAAGCTGTTGAGTTAATTTAATTAATTAATAAATTTTGACATCCTATAAATGAAAATTGACCTTTTCGATTTTCATTAAAATCGAAGTAAATTAATGACGATATAAAAAAACTTAATTCATAAACTTAATCTTGAATATTTCAAGAATAATTTAAGCCCAAATACATGTATGTTAGTGCTCGATTTTCCACTAAATAATATGAGCAAACTTTAAGAAGCAATTGTTGACATACTTTAGGGTTTTCGCTTATTTCTTCAAAACCAAGGAATTTCCCAAGAATTTCTAGCTTGAGAATTAATCTTGAATATTCAATAAACAAAATGCCTACTAAATACATATTTGTAGAAGCTGTTGAATTAATTTATTTAATTAACAAATTTTGACATGCGATAAACGAAAATTGACCTTTTAAATTTTCATTAAAATCGAAGTAAATTAATGACGATATAAGAAAACTTAATTAATAAACTTAATCTAGAATATTTAGGGAATAAAATAAGCGTAAACACGTATAAAAAATATTGCGTCTAATTTATAAAAAATGACGACTGAAGTTTTTTCTTTGTGATTTGTGATTGACAACTTAACGATTTTGGTTGTATAAAACGCAAGAACATTGTAAGAAAACCCGTATTATTAATTTGTTTTGTATATATAAGAAAAAAATTAAACAGAGGCTGAAGAAAGAAAGAAAAAAAACATATATAAAATAAGAAAATTAATTCAATCTCGTACAACGATTGGAATCAGTTAAATGAATTATGTATTAGATCGAATAATCCAATATCCAGATCGAGATCATTCCGAGAAAGATAATTACGATAATTAATGATGCCCTTTCTTTGCGCTTAAGAAAACAAGTAAACAGTCTGATGAAGACTTTTCTGGTATTACCTATTGAGAATTACGTAAAAAAAAACTATATAAATAAATATTATTATTATAGGTAAACGGCGAACAACAAGTTTAATTATCTTATTTACAAACGTGATGTAACTGGAATCGTATATTTCAGCACTTCATCTACATAAAATTCAAATAGTATTATATAGATAGAAAAAAAAAATACATAACACGAGCAGTTTTTTCTTGTATACATGTTTTTTTCAAAGGCTTCCTGCATTGTTTCTAAAAGGTGAAAAACAAGACAAGTATTAATTACATGTTAGATGTATGAAATATTTGCAGAGGAAACAAGAAATAATATTTATATAATGATTAGCTGATGACGGTTATTGAGGACATCTCATTGCAGTAAGGTATTAAAACGCGTGCATAAATAAAGCCGCTATCTTATCAACTTTTATACCAAAAAAAAATTGGTTAATAAAACTGTAAAGTAAATAGTTTCAAGAAACACTCGTGAAGAAACAGCGAAAACTGTAAGTAACATCAAACGTTAAACAATAACAGTTCTGAGCTATTCTCAATTCTCTATTAAATTGATAGTTAAGCGACGCGCAAAGCGGATTGCGTTTGAATCGGTGAAACAGTTATCGTATCTGCATTGATTTCAATCAAGTTGATTTGATTTGAATTAATGAAATAATATTACAATAATGATTGTTGTTTTCAATTATTAATCGCGAAGTAGAAAGGTGCAATTGCATTAACGTTTATGAGGCAATCAATAACAAAATTTTCATAAACGTCCATTAACTTAATGCGAATTAATTTTTTGCCTTTCGATTCGCGAGTTGTTGTGTTTTTTTCTTCTTCTCTCCTCTTGCAAATAATTGCTTGAATAATGCAAATATTTGGACCGAATAAATGTTAATACTTGCACTTTACGCAAGTCTCTTTTTTTTTTCATTTGTCTCCTATCATTAATTATAAGATATGATTTTGTTTACGTCGCCTGAACGATTAATGTTTATTAATTGAAGAACAAGAGAGAGCGAGAGACAAATAGAGCGGAGTAGAAACATGAGAAAACCTTGATATTTTCAAAACCAAACAAAAAAAAAACATACGGTAATCTAGATTTACATTTAATTATAAATTTAAAGATTTCTTCTGTTTATCGAACATCTCGGTGTACTTGATTCGGAATATCAAATAATTGGGTCAAAGGAATGGAAATTTTCCGATATTTTTTTCTGTAAATCCTTGATATATTTTTATTTTCGATCGACAGGAGTTCATTTGCATTTCTGTTTATGCGGAAGATAAATTTTATTTACATTTTTTTTTTCCAACTCGACCATACAAAAATAAGTCAATGTCAATGACAATTTTAACGTTTACTCACTTATAAATCTCATAGTTAAGCAATTTGAATCGGTGATCTAATTAGACTTTTAATCATTACATAAACAAATCTCATAGTTAAGCGAGTTGAATTGGTGATTTAAATAGAATTTTCACAACTTTTACTTGGATTTTAACAAAATCTAAATAGTTTTAGATGCTATTGATCTAATGCACGCGTTTATCAATCGTTTATATGTTCGAGGTCAAAACATTTTACTTACACGTTAAAAATGTCTGTTAACAAGTAATTAAATCTACATTTTGTATACGATTTGAATAATTTGTATTTATTGAGGTAGATTTTCTCCGAATTTCAAATGGAATTGATTGAAATAGATTGTAAATTTGATTTCTATTAACAGATCATTTAATTATTACTTTTTGATATGAAATAAAACGTTTGATTTGGATATTTTTAGAAATTTAAGAAGTTTTTTTAGGAAACTGTAGTATACAAGTATATCTTGAATATTTTGGGAATACAATAAGTACAAATACATATAAACGAATGAATTTTATGAATCGGAGAATATTATTACACTTTTGCGTCTAATTTAAAATTAACTTCTAACATTTTATGATATTTCTCCAAAATCTAGAATAGTTTAAGAAATCTGCAATATACAAATAAATCTTGAATATTTGGGGAATGCAATAAGCACAAATACATATAAACGAATGAATTGTATCAATCAGAAAATATTAATAAACTTTTGACATATTCAAAAATTGCCTTTTTTCTTTTGACGATTTTTCTCCAAAATCAAGAAAAAATGAAGGAATCTTCACTATACTAATAAATCTTGAATATTTAGGGAATACAATAAGTACAAATACATATAAAGTAATGAATTATATCAATCAGAGAATATTATTAAACTTTTGCGTCTAATTTAAAATTAACTTTTACATTTTATAATATTTCTCCAAAATCAAGAATAATTTAAGAAATCGTCAATATACAAATAAATCTTGAATATTTAAGGAATAAAATAAGTGTAAATTCATACAAGCAATTGAGTTGTATTAATGAGAAAATATGAAGAAACTTTTGACATATTCGAAAATTAACTTTTTTCTTTTGACGATTTTTCTCTAAAATAAAGAAAAAAATAAGGAATCTTCAATATAAAAATAAATCTAGAATATTTAGGGAATGCAATAAGTATAAATACATATAATCAAAATTAATTGTATCAATCAGAAAATATTAATAAACTTTTGACATATTCGAAAATTACCTTTTTTCTTTTGACGATTTTTCTCCAAAACAAAGAAAAAATTAAGGAATCTTCAATATACAAATAAATCTTGAATATTTAGAGAATACAATAAGTAAAAATACATATGAACTAATGAATGATATCAATCAGAAAATATTAATAAACTTTTGACATATTCGAAAATTACTTTTTTTCTTTTGATGATTTTTCTCCAAAATCAAATTTTTTTTATTGTAATTAATATTAATCATAGTTAATAAGTTTATAATTTGTCTTAAATGAGTTAAAAATTAAAATTTGTTATTAATTTTCCAGTACTTAAATGATAAACTTATGTAAATTTAAATTGTTATCTAATTTTACTAAAACCATTACAAACATTAGTTTATTATGTTATGATTTTCATTCATTTATATAAAAATTTAGATTTGTATAAATTATTGGACAAATATTTATTAATTTTATAATATATCATGAAATATATCTGCTTTTAGACATAAATAATAGACAATTAATTCCGATATTTTGAGAAGATTCAACATTGTACCGTTTCCTTAAATATTGTTTCTTTTTTTCTCTCTCAATACTCTTCTCTCTAGCCTCATTATCTCGTCGACTGACAACAAGACACAACTTGGCTGTCCCTCAGAAATAAGGACGAAACCTCGGATCATTATCCTTCGGGAACGGCATTAATACGAATTAGGAGGAATTATATTTACATTTCCATCCACAAAAGGCCAATATTCTTGTTACAAATTCACCTCGAACATAAAACGATCACTTCTACATCGATTAACTTATATTTTGATCATATTAAACCCAAATAATTTACGTTTCATTAAAGTCTAATCGCAGTTCAATTGATTGTTTCAAAGTAGAATGCGTTTTTTATTTCCATAAAAATTTCAACATTTACTTTCTATTAGTTCTATTATTTTTATATAATGATTTCATAAATCCTTTAAATCTTAACTTTTACACAAAAAAATGCAATTCATGAAAAGTTCATGAAATTATACAAAAATTACTGCTAAAGTAATGCAAGTTATAATAGAAATGATACTTCTTCTTTGCGGTTAATGTTATTGGCAATTTCTCAGAGGATGCGCACTTAAAAACTCGCTTCCATTACTCAAGTTACACCTACGTAATTTATTGCCTTCACTGCGAATTCCAGTTGCAATTTCACGTTTTATTATATAAACAAACAAAAAACTGAAATTCAACAACAAAACTTCTTATTGACTTAAGTAATAATTTCTATATAAGTAATAAATATTTGATTTGCTAAATAAGAAACTTTTTCTTAATAATTTGTATTAGTAAAGAAACAAGACGTATTTTTTAGTTATAATTTCTATAAAATTGTTAATTTATTAATTCACTATTTGTTTTCAATAAGCAAGTTTTTATTAATTAAGAAACAATTTTTACAATAGGAATAAAATTGAAAATATTTGAAATGTTGTAAATCGAGGTATTACTGTATAAAAATAAAACCAGATCAGTTGTATTATATAAATCAGAGATTGTAACGTAATTTTCGAATGAAATAGAATACGAAACGTAAATGCTAATGTAAGTTATGCAAATATGCGTTGAACTTTAAATCTAGTAGCAATAATAATAAGAAAAGAAAAAAAGAACGCCATTAATAATACAATTGGAATAAGTGAAAATCATCGCGGCGAATCGATTAATACACATATTTATTAATTAGTGTGACTTGTACATTCCAACGTCGTTAAATCTTACGCAAAGAAATTGAAGAAAACAAAACAAGAACAAGAAAAACAACTAAAAAAATATAATAAGTAGTAAATAGATAAACAAACAAGCAAATAAATTATAACTGTTACCGTTTCGTTCAATAAACAGATTAAATTTAAATTAATTCATAAAATTACAATAAATGGATTTAGATTTTAATTACAAAATTGATTGATACAAATTCGTGACTGCGTTGCTTTCAATTAGGATAACTGAAAAGTTAATTATAGCCAAATTGGTGTTATTTGCTTCTGGAAATAGTCCAAAAAATCGATATATGTATACTTGTTTACTCGCTGGCAACTAAATAATATTATATTTCGCTCAATTACGAGCGGCGCTAAATGTCGCGAGTGATGGTAATTAGCGACGGTGAAAATTACCGAATACAATAGGCTAATTTCGGTTATTCAGGCGTCGCTTCCGGCCTTGATTGAAATTATTGTCTGCCGAAATAACCAATTTCAGAGTTACGCGTACGAAACACGTGTATTTCCATGACAACTATATTTTGGTTGCTATGGTTGCTCAGGTTTTTCTTGCGTTTCGGTTGGTCAATGAAAATAATATTTTAGTTGCTATGGTAACTTTGAATGACGCTGACGTAACGGACCGTAACGAAACACCATTCAAATTATTATTGTTTACGCACACGCGAAAATGTTACATTGTTTTAAACGTACAGAGAAAACACGTTTAAATGATTACAACAAAAAAAAAGTGTAAAATTCATATTGATATAACTAATTATTTTATGACATTCAATAATTAAAAGTGTAAAGTTGCAAAAAAAATCCGTATTGGATATTTTCTAAGAAAAAAAAAACCGTTGCTATAGTAAATAAACAATTGTGGTCGAAAGACAGTTTTGATGAGAAACTCTTGATTTATAAGATTCTACTAGATAATTACAATAAACAGTTGTTTCTCAATACGTAAACGGTATATGCTTGCAGCGCCATCTATTGTCTTTTTTTTTAAATTAATTTATTCTTGCGTTTAGCATAAAATTACAAATTTCTTGTGCGTTTCTCCACTTCAATTAATGCAAATGAACGATAATACTTTCAATGTATCATTTACATTAAATATGCGAGAGCAGACTATTTAATTATAGACGAATACGTGATCGTCACTACGTATACGACACGAGAGATTACGTGACGATACAGGAGTATACATACGTATAACTTCGGCCACAGCCATCTGCATTCTGTAATTTCTCCTTCACCTTTTTCTTCTACTTCTTCATGCATTCATTCCTTCACTCTCACACATCTTAATCATCATTTATATTTTCAATTTTCTTCTTTCAAATAAGGAAAAAGGTAGTATAATTAAACGAGATTTTAAATTTTGTAAACGCGTGTTTTGTAAACAAAATTTAAAGCGCGGCAAATGCAAAAACTTTGGCCGCAAAACGTTAATTAATCAGCTAATTCGGATGTTGGAAAACGTCGAGTTTGCTTGTAGCAAATATTGCTTCGTATATTTGACATGAAATTTCGTTTTGAATGAAGGCTTATTAATTAATTACTTCTTCAACATTAATTAATTAATTCAACAAGTTAAGGAAAACTTTTTGCAAATTTTTATAATAATGATATTTTTAAGACTTTTTAAGAAAATATTAATAAAAAAAAAAGTGATTTGTGCTATTATTTTCGGCCTTGAGAAAAGTACGTATAATAAGAATTATCTGAAACGTAAAATAACTATAATTTTATAATTGATACATGAAAGTTAGAAATATAATGTTAAATTAAGTTTAAATGTATGAAATATTATTATACTAACTTTATAATAAGTTAGATGTAATTGCTGTGTTCTTTAAAGGTTGTGAAGACAAGATAATTGATATTTCGTGAAATTGTAAAAGCAACTCATGGAAATATTAAAGTGTTGTGAATTTGTTTTAAAATAAAGAATGAAGCGTTTACGAGCGGATCAGGAAAGGTTATCATCGTTCAGTAGTATTATTATTGTAACTTTTCTTTCTTCCGATGTAGTCTTGGCCTAATTAAAGCAGAAAAGCAAAAACAACAATAACAAATAATTAGAACTAATCTCGGGTCAAAGTTTAACCGTCTACAATAATTATTATACCCAATTGATTGACCTAAAGAAGAGGTAAAAAGTTTATTTCCGAAGCGAAAATTGCGACTCGCTCCTTCGCATTTCCAAGAAGGTAACGTTGTTTTTCTCGCACTTTTGATGATGATGATAATAATAATAACAATCCTTTCTAAAACGGTTTGTGTGTGTGTGTCTACGTTTATTTTCGTTCCCCACTCTGACTTCTCGCAGAGTTCGGACTTATATAAATATGTTGCGAGTGCCGGCATATCGCACTTGATACTTCTAACGCTCGCTGCACGGTAGTTTTTTTTTCTGTGAGCTGTAAACTTGATCATTTCAGTAGCGACTCGCGTTGTTGTTGCGAATAGTTCGTACATTTTTTGGCAGCTGAAAGCGTGCTTTGTGTGCCAATGTTATTTATATATATTGGAAGCGATTATACTATCTACATCAAATCGTTCAAAGGGAGAATAGCTTCTAGCAGCATCGTCACACGATGAACGACCTGACTTGGCATCCCAATGGCAATTGGAGCGAAGAGTTTACCACCGTCGTCAAAGATTTGGAGCTGCAGGCTGCAACATCCGAAGACTTGTTATGGTCTTTCGTGAAAGGATGCGGTCGCATGTTCTACATGGTCGATCCCAACGACACCACCTTCGAATCTCACGAAGAGGTTCCCAAATACTTCAGACAGGTATGTACTTAATAGTGTTTGAGATTGAGTGTTTTTAATGAGTGAACAAATCGCACAAAGGCATGGCCTTACTTCGTGTTGTTCATGGTCCTGGAAAACCTCATCCTCTGGATCGAACGTGAACCGGTCCATCGACTGAACGACAGCATCACCAGCATAGGGCACGGCATCATCCAAGAATCCGGAAGGTAAGAAATTGAAGAAATTGCAGAATTTAAAACGAATGTTGACTGCGAAAGATATTCGAAAAACGTAAATAAATAAGATGTTGATAAGTTAACAATAATAATTGGTAGCAACCTTGAATTCTCTAAATACTAAGTCTGCTGTTTACTCAAACGATATATTAGCGTAAATTGTTAAAGAAAACATTTGCTTTGTAAAAGTTTTCTTTGCGAAATTGATTACACACTTAAGACATGATGATGATCCGAAAGTTTGTTTATATTGGATACGGAGCAGGATGTATCCGTCACCCCTGGCAACGCCATGCAAATTCTTGTGTAAAGCTCCTCAGGGCGGAGAGATCTAGATTTGGTAAACCGCAAAAAACACGTTAAGAAACAATTACCGAATGATAAACAAAAACGAAAATGATGAAGAAAAACGACTGTCTTTAAAAATCATTAATTTTCTCGATTATTACACACGATGCAATTATCATTGAATACTCTAATTAAAGATAAATATTTAGACTTTATAAAGTGCTATCAGTCATATGTGTAACTATTGTTGATTTTCTGTAATTTACGTTTAAACTTGAAAGAACGTGTTAAATCATTAAAAATCGAGTCTTTACAAATCATCATGTTTCTCCATAACTATACATGCAAAAACTCTCAATGAGCATTCAAATTAAAGATAAATATTTAGACTTTCTAAAGTGCTATCAGTCATATATGTAACTATTGTTGATTTTCTGTAATTTACGTTGAAAGTTGAAAAAACGTTTTCAATCATTAAAAATCGAGCCTTTACAAATCATCATGTTTCTCCATAACTATACACGCAACAACTCTCAATGAGCATTCATATTAAAGATAAATATTTAGACTTTTGAAAGTGTCATCAGTCATATGTGTAACTATTCTCAATTTTCTGTAATTTACATTGAAAGTTGAAAAAACGTTTTTAATCATTAAAAATCGAGCCTTTACAAATCATTATGTTCCTCCATAACTATACACGCAACAACTCTCAATGAGCATTAAAATTAAAGATAAATATTTAGACTTTCTAAGGTGTCATCAGTCATATGTGTAACTATTGTTGATTTTCTGTAATTTGCGTTGAAAGTTGAAAGAACGTTTTCAATCATTAAAAATCGAGCCTTTACAAATCATCATGTTTTTCCATGACTATACACGCACAACTCTCAATGAGCATTCAAATTAAAGATAAATATTTAGAATTTATAAAGTGCTATCAGTCATATGTGTAACTATTGTTTATTTTCTTTGCGAAGTTTGTAATTATTATATAATTTAAATTATCGAATTTATTTTTATGTGCGAATAAACATACATGGAATTTACTGAAACGTTTAAATTGTGTATTTGATGAAATTCCAAAATGATTACATTGGAATTGTAATAATTTTAATTAATAATCGAACATAATTTATAGTCTATTAAACACAACGTTTTAATGAACAAATTCAAACGAGTTTTTTTTTTTGCTCATTTTATAAAATGCGAATAATTTTTAATTACTTCTACATATTTTTGAGTTTTTCTTTCTTTGAATAGTTCCAATTTCTTGTATAATTTATAGTGATTTTTAGAACTTGTTCATTGAAGTATCTTTTACTTTAAATTTGTTGTTAATTCTTCAAAAACATTACGCATTTTTCTAAAATAAAATATCCTTTTCTTTTATTTCAATCTTTAAATAGTTTCAATTTCTTGTATATAATTAATATTGATTCTTAATTTTTTTTTTTTTTTTTAAATGTTAGAAATTCATAAAGCAAGGTTAAATTAAAGTCTGATTTTCAAATGGTTGTTATTTCTACAAAAAAATACACAATTTCTATTAATTCTTTATAAATACTTAAAAAAAGAGTTAAGAATTCATATAACGTGATTGAAATAACAAACTTAAAAGAAAACATACAAAATATTTCATAATATAAAGTTCTTTTTTGCTCATTTTATAAAATGCGAATAATTTTGAAGAATTTTCAATTACTTCTACATATTTTTGAGTTTTTTCATTCTTTAAATAATACAAATTTCTTGTATATAATTTATATTGATTCTTAGAACTTTTTTTCTTGAAAAATGTTAGGAATTCATAAAGCAAGCTTGAATTAAAAGTCTGATTTTCAAATTGTTGTTATTTCTACAAAAAAAAATACATAATTTCTATTAATTCTTTATAAATACTTAAAAAAAGAGTTAAAAATTCATAAAACGTGAATGAAATAACAAACTTAAAAGAAAATATACAAAATATTTCATAACACAAAGTTCTTTTTTTGCTCATTTTATAAAATGCTAATAATTTTGAAGAATTTTCAATTACTTTTACATATTTCAGATTTTTTTCTTCCTTTAAATAGTTCCAATATAATTTACATTGATTTTTAGAACTTTTTTTGAAAAATGTTAGAAATTCATAAAGCAAGGTTGAATTAAAAGTTTGCTTTTCAAATTGTTGTTATTTCTACAAAAAAAAATACACAATTTCTAATAATTCTTCATAAATTCTTTAAAAAAATGAGTTAAGAATTCATAAAACGTGATTGAAATAACAAACTTAAAAAAAAACATACAAAATGTTTCATAACAACAAAAGTATTCCAATAATTCTCTCATTAAAAAAACAACAAAGCTAATACGCAAAACATTTTATAATTGGACAACAAATTTCAATTGTTTCTATTTTGTTTTGTTCGGTTTAAATTATAGCGTGCGTTGGATGTACAATTCGTTTGAGCATGAACGTTCATTACGTTTCTGTTTATTTATTTTTTATTTCCACGTTTGTTTATGCAATTTCGTCGCACGTTCCAATTGGATTTCACATTGAATTCCATCCGAAAACGTCCATAATAGCTTACTTTTTTTTTTGTTCGACCGCAATAATTTATCCCCTTTTCATCCGGGACACACACAATCAATTTTCAGTTGAAAATCGCTTTCCGCAATTTATTCAAAATGTTTCAAACAAAAATCCTGATTTTCCTGATTCAAATTCTCTTTTAGAAAATTTGTTCTAACGAAATAATTCAGTTTTTCTTCAAGATTTTCCTGTTTTTACTATCAAACAAATTAATAATTTGAATCAGATCAATTTTTAAATTCCAATTAACAATTTGATGACAATTATTGAAATCTTAAAGATTTTGCGTCGGTTCTAAATTAAACTAAATTAAGTAAATAAATCTTATTAAATTCGATAAATATTTAAGATTCGATCAAGTTTTGCTAAAAAAAATTCGCGAAAAGGAACTAAATGCATTTGAACTTTGATTGTTTACGCCGAATCCGTAAATAGAAAACTTAATTGGAGTGTTTACAATTTAACACGGATATTTTTACTTTTATCGCTTGCAATGGAGAAGGAAGCAGTGAAGAAATGAAAATAATCGACATATTTTCGTTATCAGACGATTATTTTTTGCTTTTCTTTTTGTGTTACCAACCGCTCTTTATCTTCTGTTTTTATAATATTACATAATAAAAATTAGTCACGTTGAATGAATGAATGAAGGAACACTTGTAACTTGATCTAGTTTTTTTTTGTTATATCACAAAACACACAACGATATTTATATAACTTATAGGAAGGCCGTTGACCGACATTTTTTGGTTCGTACTTTAAATTATTAAACATTAGTTAAGATGTTACGGATTTGGATTAGAGATGTTATCATTATTTGAAGGATAAAAAAGGATTGAATTCATCCAAATTATTGTTAGAAAGTTCTGTTTCCTATTCACCATGTAAATCCGTTTGATTTATCGAAACGCAAGGCATTAATAATACTTTGGAACGTCGCTAATTGGAATTCAGTTGTCGGCTTATTCACTAATAATGCGCCGCCAGCTACGCAAATTGCGTTCATTCCACGTAAAGCGGAAAACTGACTCAGTAATAAATGGACAATGTTTTTCCCTTTTTCACCCCTTATTATTAATAAATACACCAGACTCTAGAAAATGTATATATATTTGCACGAATGTTGAAGGGAAATTTAGTGAGCAATTAGGGAAATGAGATCTGAAAGGTTTTATCTGGCTTTCGCAGGCTGCTGTTCCGCGGAGCCGAGAGCTGCGTTTACGTTTACGTCTACGAGAACTTCAGGATGGTGGAGATCTCTTGGAGAGAGCCGAGCGCTTGGTATTTGGCGGCGCTCGGCGTGGATTTCTGCTATTATTGGGTGCACAGGGCGTGTCACGGTGAGTCCAATCGCAATTTCGGAATTATTTCTTATTGCATTTTGATGTTTCTGCAGAAGTTCAAATTCTTTGGGCTCAACACCAAGTGCACCATTCATCCGAAGAGTTTAATTTGGCTGTTGGGTTGAGACAGTCCGTGGTTCAAGGATGGTGCGGATTTGTGAGTATAATAACAACTTTTTTTTTGACTTGTCCCAATTTGTCCCAACTTTGGTAATTTTTTTTCCAAAAATCTTTGTTTTAACAAAATTATGTTTGAATTAAATTGATTATAAGTTTATGTAAACAATGAAAGTGTTAATAATTAATTATTAGTTAGATAATAGTAAAAAAAAAATCTACTTGTCCCAATTTGTCCACGTTTATGAAAAGTGAAAATTTGTAAAATTTATACTTATTTTCTATAGATTATTGTATAACAACAGTATTTAATAGAAATAATAATATAAAATTAGTTGTCATTTCGCAAAATATTTTGAAACTTTGGTAATTTTTTCATTTTTTTTTTTTCAAAATTTTACAAAATTTAAAACAAAAAATTATGCTTGAATTCAATTGATTATAAGTTTATGTAATTAACGAAAGTGGATCGATACGAAATGAAGTTAACGATCTTATAAAAATAAACCACAATTCGGTTTATTAATTATTTGTTACATAATAATACAATTTTTTTCGACTTGTCCCAATTTGTCCACATTTATGAAAAGTGAAAATTTGTAAAATCTATTCACATTTTCTATAGATTATTGTATAACAATAGTGTTCAATACAAATAATAATATAAAATTAGTTGTCATTTCCCAAATATTTTGAAACTTTGGTAATTTTTTCAAAAAAATTTCAATTTTTTTTTCAAAATTTCCAAAAATCTTTAATTTTTTTTTTGCTTGAATTCAATTGATAATTAGTTTATGTAAACAACGAAAGTGGATCCATACGAAATGAAGTTAAAGACATTATAAAAAAAAATCGCAATTTAGTTTATTCATTATTAGTTAGATAATAGTACAATTTTTTTCGACTTGTCCCAATTTGTCCACATTTATGAAAAGTGAAAATTTGTAAAATTTATTCACATTTTCCATAGATTATTGTATAAAAATAGTGTTCAATATAAATAATAATATAAAATTAGTTGTCATTTCACAAAATATTGAAATTTTGGTAATTTTTAAATAAAAATTTCAAAAATCTTAAAAAATTTGTTTGCTTGAATTCAATTAATAATTTATGTAAACAACGAAAGTGGATCGATACGAAATGAAGATAACGACCTTATAAAAATAAACCGCAATTCAGTTTATTCATTATTAGTTACATAATACTACATTTTTTTTCGACTTGTCCCAATTTGTCCACATTTATGAAAAGTGAAAATTTGTAAAATCTATACACATTTTCCATAGATTATTGTATAACAATAATTTTAAATACAAATAATAACATAAAATTAGTTGTCATTTCGCAAAATATTGAAATTTTGGTAATTTTTTTAAAAAAAATTAAAAATTTTCAAAAATCTTAAAAAAAAAATTTGCTTGAATTCAATTAATAATTACTTAACATTACTTCTAGTAACGTTTCCATCCATTTATGTATATTTTTGTATAAAAGTTAATAAAGTTGTTGTAAAATTAAAATCTCTTTAATAATGATTTTCTTTATTAACTTGAAAGCACAATAAAATTTACAACGAAAACATATATTTTTAAGTACTCGCAATAAAAAGTTTACTTTATGTAATTCAACGTGTAAAGTTTAATAAGTAATAAAAGTATTTGCTTTTTAATGTTCACAGATATTCTACTTACCATTGGCTTTCGTCCTACCGCCAGCACTTTTCATAACCCACCAACAGTTCAATTTGCTCTACCAATTCTGGATTCACACGAAAACCGTGAAGACTTTAGGACCTTTGGAATTCCTTTTCAACACACCGAAACACCATCGAGTTCATCATGGTAAATATACAATTATTTACGAAATACTATTTTGCAGCTCTCTTTTTCTGATGGAATTCGAATGACTTCGTTTCACTTAAAATTTTGCAGTAAACAATAATATCGGATTACGAGCGACGTACAAATGCGAAACGGAGACGTGAAAATAAAGAGAACCGCAAATGGTATTGAATTTCATCAAATAAAACAGGCGGCAGCTTTTATGTAAACAACGAAAGTGGATCGATTCGAAACGAAGTTAACGACCTTATCGCAATTCAGTTTATTTAATTATCTTTAGTTTTTTTTTGTATTACTTTGTATTACCTCGCATAGTGCGACTTTAAACAGTCCTGGATATTGACGGAATCCGTACTGTGCGAGGTATTGCCATTATTCCTTTAATTAAATTTTATTTTAAATGTTTATTTTAAATTATTAATAAATTTGTCATTTTTTCAGGATCAAATTTGTACTGCTTGGACACGAATTACGGGGGAGTGCTGATAATTTGGGATCGACTTTTCGGTACTTTCGCGGAGGAACGCGAGAAGGAAGAAATCATCTACGGACTCGTTTACAATCAGCCCTCGTTCAATCCCATCCATCTGCAGGTAAGATAAAAAGAGAGATCATCGATTTTTGCTCTTTGATGCATCGCGATGCAATTACCATGGCAACCCGAATCCAGACGTATCTAGATTTATATATATATAGAAGTAAAAACATCAATCAATTTGAGAGCACTTTGCGAGTGATTAATCAATCTGGCGTCGACAATAATTACAAAAATAAATAAAAGACATTTATTTATCTTTATTTACTTTGTTATCTTTGCAGACATTTTACACGGCTTACGTGGTCGAGAGGTTCAGGAGCATGGACTGCTGGAGTCACAGATTGGCTGCGATCTTCTACGGTCCCAGCTGGCAGCCCGGTAAGCCGAGATTAGGCTTGGAGGAGGATAAGATCAACGTAAGTCCTTCTCAGATAAACTCGTAACTTCCACTATATCATTTCCTTGTTTCAATCTCCTAATAGAATCTTATTGTAATCGTGCCCCAATCTAAATAGCAATACCTCGTACAGTGCGGTTTTTATTATATTGACTTTCCGGTTTCAAACTGGAATCAGTACTGTGCGAGGTAAAATCAGAACGAAAATTGCGAGTGCGAAATAGTCTTTTAATAGAATCTTAACGTAATCGTGCCCCAATCTAAACTACAGCAGATACCTCGTACAGTGCGGTTTCTATTGTATTGACTTTCCGGTTTAAAACTGGAATCAGTACTGTGCGAGGTAAAATCGCTTCATCAGATCAGAAATTACGAGTGCGAAATGGAAACGGTGGATGCGCCGGGTCTCGTTTAACATTCTTAACACAGTTGTCGAATTACTCGACACATGTTCGAATCCCATCGAAAAATCTATATTTTATGCATATAAATATAAAAATTTCATATGAAAAGCTCAGATATTTCACTTAAAATAATCCAAACTAAATATTATAGAAATTCAAAAGACACGATTCTTTTATAATTATTATAATTATTCCTAAAATCGTTTAATGGAAATTAATTTTCATAATATGATTATGAGATTATTACATTGTAAACCATTGTGAAATTATTATTTTGAAATTAATTTAATCCGATTAATGAGCGTTGGGATAAACAATTTTGTTGTTTGCTGAAATTTACACTGTATTAAATCTATTTTCAGCTGAATAAATTTCAGTAAACAATAAAAAATATTGATATATTTTCATGTAATTTCTATTGTTTAAATTGAAATAAAAAAGTTATTTTAGCAAAAGTAAACTTTCTTGAAACAATAAGTTTTTTTTTTCATTTCTAAAGGATTTTATAAGGAATAAGAAATTTCACTTTTTTTTTACAATACATATGAATTTAATCATTATTTTCTATAAATATTTCAACGATTTTGAGATTCAAATAATTATGTAAAAAAAAAACTTAATTAACAATTTCATATGAAATTTGTGTTTGATTTTTACAATTTTTGTAATGAACTTTAACAGATATGAGAAATCTTAATTAGGTACTGAAAACTTAATTATTTATATATCAATTTTGCCTCTATTTTATAATATTCTGAATGATTTTGACTTGCAACATTTTTTTTAAACTAATTTCATAAGATTTTAAAAGACATACATTTAAACTTCATTTATTTACAAATGTTACCTGCATTTTCTATACTTTTAGTTGAAATTATATGTATTTCCTATAGTTTTCAATTAATTAATTTGAAAAAAACTCAATTAAATCAAGAAATTATAAATTGAAATTTCATTTATTTTATATGAGTTATTATTTAATGGATTTCAGATGAATCAAGAAACCTATTTGAATCTATACAAAAACTTGAATAATTTTAATAAAATTTCACATGAATTTACTCTTAATTTTCTATTACAATTTAATGAAACTTCTTTGTATCAATTTTAATGGGATTTCGTGAGAGAGACTCAATTAATTATGTATTGAAAAAGGACAAGAAAAAGGACAATTTAATGACCAACGAAGCTTTACTAGTTTCGTGCACGTAACGTTTGCGAATTAACTAAATTAAGACGAGCATTGTGTTCGAATGAGCGTCTAAAAATAAAATAAAAGACAATCGTCATTGGCGAGGATCGTCAAGCGAGCCATGAATAAAATAAATACGAAGCGGCACGTTACCATAACAATGACATCGGTCTGCATCCAATGTCAGAGAGGATATCGATCTGCGTCCTCCGAATATCGTTAGCTTAATTAAAGCGCGTCGCTAATTATAGAGCCGCAAAATTACTGTAACTGTAGGTGGAAATACACAGAGCTTGATCAAAGAAAAGCGCTTCCATTAGGAAACAGAGTCTCTAAGTTTTCTTCATTTTTTGATTACAGGTCGTCGCCAGGGAAAAGTACGAGGTGAAGCTTCCACTGTGGTGCAACATCTACTTGTTAGTGCATTTCTGCGTGGTCGTGTACGGATTTCAAGAGTTGGCCTCCAGACATGTGGTAATTCGATTTCCCAAAAGAATTACCTTTCAGATCTTAATTTCTTATTTTTTGCAGAACATGAGTCCGTTTGCTGTACTTTGCTTCGTGCTGTACATCATCGGTTCTTTGACCACCATCGGCATGTTGTTCGACAACAAACCGCACGCTTGCGTTTTCGAGCTTCTGCGTTGCATGGTCCTCGTTACAGCCGTTCAAAGGCTCGATTTTCCCGATATACAACAATCGACGCTCCTTGCAGCCGAGTGTTTCTTCTTGGCTTCAGGACTCTTCTGGTTTCTGCAGTGCGTCAACGTTCTTCAGATTACCAAAACGAAGCAGCATTAACGTCTTTCGGAAAGTGATATAAATTGATTCGTTTTTTTTTCTCTCTTAAGTATTAATTATTATTAATTTAGTATTAATGTTTGTATTATCTTTAGTGCATTATTACTCATTGACTGAGAAAACTTGTGATTATTTTCAATAAATAAATAAATTCTTATTGTATCTAATTATTTTCAACATATCATTTCACATTTAATGTTATAGAAAAATAATATAATTTCATTGATTTATTAAAAAAAAAATTCTAATTGGAAAACTTGAAAATTCTTATTGCAAAACTTGAAAATTTCAGTCTTAATTTTATAAATAAATTTTTAGTATTATTCAATGCATTTTTATTGTTACAAACTTACAATACCTTGAAAATCGTATTATTCTCTAAAAAGTTATGAATTAATCATCTTCTTATTGGAAAACTTGAAAATTCTTATTGCAAAACTTGAAAATTTCAGTCTTAATTTTATAAATGAATTTTTAGTATTATTCAATACATTTTTGAGTATTATTCTCTAAAAAGTAATGAATTAATCATCAAAATTCTTATTGGAAATATTGTAAATCTCAATGTTGAAAATTCTTAATGAAAAACTTGAAAATTTCAGTCTTAATTTTATAAATGAATTTTTAGTATTATTCAATACATTTTTGTCAGTTTCATTCTTATAAACTTACAAAACTATGAAAATCGTATTATTTTCTAAAAAGTTATGAATTAATTATCAAAATTCTTATTGGAAATCTTGAAAATTTCAATGTTGAAAATTCATATTGAAAAACTTGAAAATTTCAGTCTTAATTTTATAAATAGATTTTAGGATTATTCAATACATTTTTGTTATTTTCATTCTTATAAACTTACAAAACCATGAAAATCGTATTATTCTCTAAAAAGTTTTGAATTAATCATCAAAATTCTTATTGGAAAACTTGAAAATTCTCATTGCAAAACTTGAAAATTTCAGTCTTAATTTTATAAATGAATGTTTAGTATTATTTAATACATTTTTGTCATTTTCATTCTTATGAACTTACAAAACCATGAAAATCGTATTATTCTCTAAAAAGTTATGAATTAATCCTAAAAATTCTTATTGGAAAACTTGAAAATTCTCATTGCAAAACTTGAAAATGTCAGTCTTAATTTTATAAATGATTTTTTAGTATTATTCAATATTTTTTTGTTATTTTCATGGTTATAAACTTACAAAACCATGAAAATCGTATTATTCTTTAAAAATTTATGAATTAATCATCAAAATTCTTATTGGAAATCTTGAAAATATCAATGTTGAAAATTCTCATTGAAAAACTTTAACATTTCAGTCTTAATTTTATAAATGGATGTTTAGTATTATTCAATACATTTTTATCATTTTCATTCTTATAAACTTACAAAACCACGCAAATCCTATTAATCACTAAAAAAATATTAATTAATTATTAAAATTCTAATTGGAAAACTTGAAAATTTCAATGTTGAAAATTCTTATTGAAAAACTTGAAAATTTCAGTCTTAATGTTATAAATGAATTTTTAGTATTATTCAATACATTTTTGTCATTTTCATTGTTATAAACTTACAAAACCATGAAAATAGTATTATTCTCTAAAAAGTTATGAATTAATCATAAAAATTCTTATTGGAAAACTTGAAAATTCTTATTGAAAAACTTGAATATTTCAGTCTTAATTTTATAAATGAATTTTTAGTATTATTCAATACATTTTTGTCATTTTCATTATTATAAACTTATAAAACCATGAAAATTGTATTATTCTCTAAAAAGTTATAAATTAATCCTCAAAATTCTAATTGAAAATCTTGAAAATTTCAATGTTGAAAATTTTCATTGAAAAACTTGAAAATTTCTGTCTTAATTTTATAAATGAATTTTTAGTATTATTCAATACATTTTTGTCATTTTCATTCTTAAAAACTTACAAAACTATGAAAATTGTATTATTCTCTAAAAAGTAATAAACTAATCATCAAAATTCTTATTGGAAATCTAGAAAATTTCATTGTTGAAAATTCTCATTGAAAAACTTGAAAATTTCAGTCTTAATTTTATAAATGAATTTTTAGTATTATTCAATACATTTTTGTCATTTTCATTATTATAAACTTACAAAACCATGAAAATTGTATTATTCTCTAAAAAGTTATGAATTAATCATCAAAAGTCTTATTGGAAATTTTTAATATTATTCAATACATTTTTGTCATTTTGATTCTTATAAACGTACAGAACCATGAAAATCGTATTATTCTTTAAAAAGTTATGAATTTTTCATGAAAATTCTAATTGGAAAACATGAAAATTTCAATTATTTGAACGTATAAATAATAATATTTCGTTTTTACAGATTTCCTGATTTTTATTTACTTAAAAATCTACTGTTTTGTTGCAATTCCTTAAATTTATTATGTAATTTCAGTAACCAAGAAAAGTACAAAGAAACAAAGAAATCCTATTTATTTCATAGCCCGAGTAAGAAGTGGAAGCTATAAATTTAAAGATATTCCAGTTAAATCGAGCGCAAATCAAAGTTTCTTCACTCACGAAAAACAACTCTAGTTTAGTTTCAGTTCATGCCTTTCTTATGTATGTATAAACTTATCTTTACTAATTTAAACTTAATTTTGAAATTTTCTAAATGTAAATTAATAAAATTAGTTTAAACAGTAACATTTATACAAAATATTCAATGAAATTAACAAAAAAAATTGAAATTCTTTAATAATCTAAAACATAATTAAATTGTAAATCACTTGAACTTAATTTATCTACTGCATTATTATTTCCACTCTATTCTAAATGAAACGTTGAATTGAGATTAATGCAGGATTGAGATTAATGAAGAAAAATCATCTCCATTTACCAATTCCACTCTATAATCAACAGTAATATTAGTTTCATACGCAAAACCCCGAAAGGCAATTAAAAAACTCGTTGCGAATATACAGATTATATTTATTTTTTTCATTATTCCCGCGGCAGGAAAACCGGATATAAAATCTATACTGCACTTCCTCCAGTTCCATTTCACATCCAATACGAATCCGCCAGCTCGCCCGTACGTCTGCGAAATTAAAAATCAATATTTACCTGCACTTCCGCCTTTTTTTTTTGTTCATTATATTCAATTACTTTTTTTATGTGAACAAGAACTGTCCATTTTCATTAACTAGAAACTGAATATTTTAATAGAAAAACGTATTTTTTTTATCTGGGAAATGCTTGGAAAATCTACGTTTTCTAATTTTACACATAAAAACGTTGGTTTTCATCCGAAAATAACCGAAATTGTACATTTTCATTAATCTGAAAACTGAAACTGAATATTTGAAAAGAATAAACGTATTTTTTATACGTTAAAAACATTAGTAGGAAAAATTTGGATATTTCATGAGGATGTAAAATATTCTTTTGCCTTTTCATTTCTTATATAAAAACGTTAGTTTTCGTCAAAAAATAATCGAAATTGTCCATTTTCATTAAAAAGAAGCTAAAAATGAATATTTGAAAAGAAAATCTTTGGTTTTCAAACCGCAACTAAAAAAAACTCATTTTTTTACGCGAAAATCAAGTCTAATTAATAAAGCGTCTAAAAATAAATTACTTAAATTTTTTTATCCTTTAAGTTTACATATAAAACCGACATTTTCATACGACAATATTTAATAAAGACAACAATGAAATTTTTCAATTTTTAGTTTATAATTTCAACAAAAATAATGCGTAAAATCAGTGCGAAAACGTTGAACAAAATTCTCAAATTTCAACACACTTTTTGATAAGAAATAACGAGAGAAATCAGTGAAAAAACAAGGATAATTAATATGACTTCATCTTTGGTTTCTCACTTTTTTCATCCGGAAATAATGAATGAAATCAGTTGGGAATACGTGGATAATTAATACAACAAGCTTCATCAATCTTTTGGCTTCTAATTTGAAAGCGAAAAAAAAAGGGGATTACGGGCATTCGGGATTAAAGCCTAAGCCTCCACATAAAAGTTATTTTCGCTGAATTCGTGTGTTCTTTCTATCTAGGATTAAAAGCTTTGCAGCAAACATTTGCGTATTATTTTTTTTGCTAAATTTTTGTTAAAAATGTAACAAATTTGAAGAGGAAACAAACAAAACAGTTTAATCTTCAATTAATTTCAAACAATCAATCATTAATTTCAGTTTAAACCTGTCAACAACATTCAAAATCAATAATCAATATTTGAAATTAAAAAATTTGAACTTGATATAAGTAAAAACTGGATTTTAGATACACCTGAAACTACATTTATTCATGCAACTTTGCGTCTGTTATTTTTTTTTGGGGTATATAAAGGATACATTTTATAATACACTTTTTCCGTCGCTTCTCACGAGAATTTAAAATGGAAATGCGACCGGATTCGTTTGCTCATTAAACCGCACGAGGCGAGAGCATTCAATGCGGAATTTATATCAAAAAGAAAGGAAAAGAAAGACTTTTGTTATGTAAATTTCGAGGCAAGATTAAAAGTTTCTCCATTCCCATCATCAAAAAGAAAGAAATAGGGAGGAAAAAAATGATTAATTCATAACAGGAAGAAAGGAAATTTAGTTTAATTAATTTAAAAAAAAAGGACGATTCATGGTTAATTGATGAGATTGGGTTTTGGCTCATCGTTAATTGATAACTAGGCTTGAGTTTTACTAATTAATCTCTTTATTTATTGAGTCATCTTCATGAGTTTGGATGATCTGCTCTTTCTCACTCTTCGGAAGGATTGCGCGAAGTTTTGCGCGCACCGCGATCAGAGTCCACCTGTAGTGTGCTCAGTCCTCATCCTGCTGAACGTCGGGACGCTTCGCGTTTGTTTGAGTTTGTCTCGTGTTTGTCTCCTGTTTGTTCTCTGTGATCATCATCAAAAAAAAGAAAAGAAGGAATCAAGAATGGAGGAATCTGAAGCGGTTTGTACCTTGTTTTTGCTCAATATTTGACTTTGCGCGATTGGATTCGTTAATTTTCGAGCGTAACTTCCCTTCGGAGATGGAAATTTTCCTTAAGAGAGTGGGACGAATTGATGTTCCAGGATAATCGAATCATGAACGAATCAG